TAAATTATTCAAAATTATATGCAGCAAAAGTTTAATGCCATTGTCTTTCCAAATAACTTTAAGTTTCGTAAAACAGACTGAAAGTTATTAAAATGATCAATAGAATCACAGTGAAACAAAAACTTGGCCATTATGTAAAATTTTTTCTTTTTTTAAAATGATTAGTATCTCGATAACTATTACAAAGATCGCAAAAAAATGGTAGAGGACTTTTTTGTTCAGTTTGGTCCACACAACTTGTCCACAAGCGCTGTACCATTGAGTACGAGACATCCTGTATATATACATAAGCAAATAAGGTAAACTCGGATATTGTGGCCATAAGAAAAAAATGGCCATGTGCTGTAATTTTTTTAATAATTGTTAAATAATGCATTTTTGTAGTCATTCTCAAAGATAATCAATATTTACAGTAGTTAATGTGCGTACACTATTCGAAATAATAATATTTTGAATATTAATAAAATTAAATTTTTATTTTAAACTGTCAGCAAAGTTTTACACATGTCTACTAAAAGCTGTTATAACATCAAATAAATTACAATTAAGCTGTCGTGATCAACATTACATATACAGTAAAAGGTCCATAAATTGTAATGTAACCTATAGAATTTGTATTTTCGTTTTTACTGTTTATTTATAAATACTACGGCCATCTCCTCTTACAGTACGGATAAGATGGCCCACTTTTTTCATGTTAAGATGGCCAACAAGCTGCGTTCGAAAACGATTATCCGAGTGTCCCCATATTTATTTACCGAATGTTAAACAAAAAATAAAATGATAGAAGACACTCGGTTTGTATACACAGCATTGTTAAGATAAATATCATTTATTATATACTGACTCATGCTTAATAAATTGGCTTTACAATTGTGGATAATGTGCAACAAAAGTAAGTATTAAGATTTTTCATTTTGATTTTGTTATAGTTTCAGTAAATATCGCAATATTTACTTCATGAGTAAATTATCATGTTAGATTGGTTAGAATCTTGTCGTAATTGCCTGATATCGCGTTGCTTTCTATATAAATTAACAATTAATTTTACAATATCGTTAGTTAGCTTTTATAGAAAAACGGTAAAATACACTACTTTCTGCTTGCAAGCGTCATATGTATCGTTAAAAATAAAGTTAAAAATAGAAAGTGAGATTATAAAACCTGTCTTATTTATTAACAATAATGTACAATTAATATACGTGGTAATGCTTAAATTAGAGTTTTCATTTAAAAGAGAAATTAAATTGGTAATTTTTATTATAATTTTAAAGATTGAAAAAAACCAATTTTTTTCAGTTTTTCCGAAGATTTGTTCGGTTTCTTTCCCAAGGGATAGAATAATTCAATGGAAAATTTCACGTATATGTTCATAAAACTTATCACATTTCATATTTGCAACAGGAATAGTTCTATATATTCTCCTAATATGATAATGTTAAATTACGATTGCGTTTCAAGAATAACAATAGTAAAGTTAGTAATATGAATTTTTAATGTAAGAATGTATTTTTCATGATTACATAAATATTCATCTATAAGAGTATTTTTCTTGTCTGACTGTTCTCATTTTAATCAAATCAAATCAAATGTTTTTATATGTCTATTCTTGGTTGAGAAGTTTGTTTATTTGCCTGGAGATTTTCTTAATCTCACTTTTTTTATTGGTAACTTTGATTAACCTATTTCCGAAAAAAAACCAGAAAAAAACTAGACTAATTTTTCTCATTATTTAGTTCCATCGTGCATTTATAATTTTATAGATATCTTACAAGATCCAAGCATTTATTAGATTGCAACTTGAGCAAATTCTCGAGCAAGATCTCTCGAAATTCAAAGTTTGTAGTTATCAGTATCATAGTTGAAGTAAACATACTTCAATCGAGCATCAAGAAGTTCAGTTGCGCAATAATATTTCTTTGAGCCTAATTTCTCTTGTATCAACGCCGTAACTGCATGATGGCTGTTTAAACGTAAAGTATACATATAATTTGTTGCTTTTACACATACAAATCGAGAAGTAATATATTAAAATATTTTATGCAATAAAATATTTATATACAACATTCAAGCGCTATATACATATAAACAATAATCATGTCTTACTATAACTTATTATAGTTCTTATATTTGATTCAGATATTTATTCATAAATAATTTATTTCATAAATTCCTTAAGTGCACTGAGATGCAATATACGACACG